AGGGTGGAATTTTTGAAGTTCTTAGAAGAATTCCACTGATTACAGCAGGATTGGAGTTAGGCTGAAACTAGTCACTTCCAGAACACTAGCTTCAAATTATTTATTCTTTCAAGACACAGCCAGTCACTTCCAGAACACTAGCTTCAAATTATTTATTCTTTCAAGACACAGCCTCCAATACCTACTGGGTTGCTCGCCTCTCCTTACATCCTGTCTGGGTTATGAGAGTTTATATGTGTTGCTAAGATGTAACAATGTTGCTGCATCCAACTGTTCCGCTTGGAGTACGATGTATTTTAAAGAAATGTATTTTTCCTAAAGTGGTGCTTCTCACATTTACCCATTGAACACCAGTGGTTCAGAAATCCCTCCTGATGGGTAGCAGGAAGCAAAGCAAGGGTGTGTGTAGGAAAGTTCTGATTTCGGTTTTGGTTTTGTTGGAAGATTTTTTTCATCTGCAAGGCAAGCTACAAGGTGAAAATATGAGTGAAATACAAATATTGTGAGTTAAGTTTCAGATAATATTAGAAGATGAATTTTAGTTAATTTATCTTTAAACTTTGTTGTCTTTGAACTTTTTTGGGAGGCTCTGTTTCTTTTGAGGATTGAAATCTTCCTGACTACTATTCAGAAGAATAATCCCATTTCTGACTAGCACATTAGGAGGACCCGGCTGGCCCAATTTTCCCTAATATGGCTTGAAGTTTAAAAGACTAGTTTAAAAAAGTATTTGAGTACTTCTTTAACTATAAGACCTGGAAAATATGTGATCTAAATATCACTGAAAAGCTGCTCAGTCTGTTACCTTCTTCTGTTACAGAGGTTTATGGTGCATTTTATTTTCAACAACTGTAAAGCCTATCCCTAAATTGGAATTTTCCAAAATAGAGTTCTCTAATACTGGCTGTATTAGAAGACCTTTAGTACTCTTTTGTGAGTGTGTTGAAATATAGGTGGGTACCTGAGTATTTTATTCAAAGGTATGGAGACAGCACGGAAAACTGTAATGATGTGAGCGAATCAGTTCCATTTTAGTGTAGGTATGGCAATGCTGTGATTCATGTGCCAGTCAGTGTCATTATTCATGCTAACAATAAGTATAACAATAAGTGTTTTCAAGAGTTTACCTTCTTGAGTTGCGCAGTGTGTATATGAAAGTGATATGCAGATTTTACCAGTAAAAGTATCTCTCTTCTTTACAGGATTTGAGTAATACCATATTTGGAACCACCAAGAAAAGTAATCTGAACAGGAACTTCTCGTATGTATTATTAGTATATTAAGATATTCCTCACATGCTTTTAGAAAAAGACTTCTATACATTCTGCCAGTTTCCACTTCAGTTCTGCAATATACTTAGGATGAGAAATTTATGTGCAATGAGGAGTTAAGGCAATTTGGTCTATTTAAGTTTTTTTAAATGAAACCCTTATTAATGGAGATAAAGGAGATCCATTTAAACAAAGTGTGTAGTTTTAGGTGGAATAAACACCCCTTTTTATTCCAACAATAATCCAGTTTTCTAATTCAATCACTAAGATCACCATAGCATCTTTAACTAGCCATTATTCCAATCTAGTGAGCATGAAAAGTTGCATTTGCTTTTGCTGTGCAAATTGCATTGTTCCTATTTTAATAATTAAAATGCTAGCTGCTCCTGAAAGCTTCTCGTATTCTCTGATTAATCTCTTTTGTACTGAGTGTGCACATTTACAAAATATTTAGCTTGGTTTTCTAAATAGGTTTTCAATAGGTATTAAGCTTTGATTATATTTAGTGAAAATATACTTATTTCAAAAGTATTTTCAATTTTATTGTGTGTTTTTTGATTTTTTTTTCCAGCTCGATTGTTCATTATCTTAATATTGTGGGTATTTTTTCCACATGCAGTGCTGTCTCTGTGTTGCTTTTCCTCTTCTTTCCTATTTTGATAAAATTCTTTTATCTCTCTTATCTCTCTTACTTAGTAACACTGTGGATGTCATAAATAAAAGACACTAGAAAGCTGTCACATGCCATGTGATTTCACCATGGGAAGAGGAAAAAAGATACTGTGTTTTTTACCCATCCTGTTGTGGTTTTTTTTTTATTTTTTTTTTTTTTTTACCCAGTCATTTATAGGCAGTAGGCAAACTGCATACTTACCAGCAGGACTTACAGGCCTATGAATGGCCTGATTCTGTCACTTAGTCTGTTGTCTTCAGTGGGATCTCTCCGGTCTGTGAGGTGAATCATATCCGCTGTCTTCTGTAACAAAGACTGCTTTAATGTTAATGCTGATGCTGTAGTCTCTGCAGCCTTGCTAATCCAAAGGACCATCAGTTTAAAACGTCTGTTTTTGTGCAAGCAATGGTAATGGCATATGTAGCTCTGAATACATCTCAGCATTGATTGAAAAATGAACAATTGGGTATGTGATTGAAGTGGTCTTTAACTGATACTGTTATTACAGTGTAAACGATATGAACAGCAGTGCAGAACTGAACAGCTCAACATAAAGCAGAGAAAGAAACATGCAGAAAAATGTGGCTATTCTTCAGTAACTGAAGATTATTTGCTGATTGTTGCAATGAGCAATGTTGCACTGAGGGTTATTTTGTTTTATGATTGCCGATCAAACCTTTGTGAGTTTTGCCTTCACATAGAAGACATCTCTTTATAGGTACCAGTGCTAGCTTAATGACACAAATTTGGGAGTAAAATATCAAATGTTTGCTTTTAAACAGGTTGAGAACTTCAGAGGAAACTGACAGTAAGTTTTTGGTTGCTTGTCACTCATTTGATTCCTCTCTGCAAATCTTACTCTGACAATTCAGAAGTACAAAATCCAAAAGGAAGTTAATTTACTATAGTTGGAGGGTTATAGGAAAATGTTCAACTGTTATATCATATGTTAGTTACTAAATTGTACTTTAAAGTGAAAGATTTTTTTATGAGGGCATATTTTTCTCCGGGTAACTTCAAAATCTTAAAAGAAAAGAATTTATTTTTACCCTAGTCTGCCCAGTAATGT